TCCTGTCTTATTCCTCATCTTAAGGGAAATTATTTTAGTTTTTTCCCGTTGAGTATGATATTAGTTGTGAGTTTGGCATGTGGCCGTTATTATGTTGAGGTACAGTCCCTGTATTCCCACTTTGGGTGTGTCATTTATGGAGCTAATTGGGTGGTGCTCTGGTATGATCTGAAGCCAACCACCAGGCATGTTGGTTATGGTCCTCTTTGGAAAAGCTCGGTTTAGGCCAGATCAGCAATATCACATTTTTTTGAATGTGAGAGGAAGACTAAATTTTTGTGTGTGAGAGTATAATTCTATTCTAATAATTGGTAGAAGAAAGGGTATCAGTATGTGTTGAACTGTCTTCCCCCCTAGTACCTGAGACCGTGACTTTATATGGAGATAGGGTCTTTAGGGAGGTAAGTAAAACTGAAGTCATTAGGGTAAACCCTATTCAATATAACTTGTGTCCTTATGAAAAGGAGAAATTTAAAAAAATCCTCACTAGAGGACATGCTTAGAGAAAGGAAAAAGGGAGAGAGAGAGAGAAAGAGAGAGAGAGAGAGAGAGAGAGAGAGTAGCAGATATTTTTTAATTGATTTTGAGAGAGAGAGAGAGAGAGAGAGAGATGAGAAACTGCTTGTACAAACCACTCTGGCTGGGCCCTAACAAAGGGAAATTTTGACAGAGACACACATAGAAGATGATATGAAGACACAAAGGAAGAAAATGGCCATCTAAAAATCAAGGAGGGAGGCCTGGAATAGATATTTCCCTTACAGCCCTCTGAAGAAATCAACCCTTTCAACACCTTGATCTTGGACTTCTAACCACAAGAATTTTGACACAAGATATTTATGAGTCTATAGTACTTTGTTATGACAGCTCTAGCAAACTAATACAAGTATATAAACCTTAGTTTATTTTTTAATTTAATATTTATGTAAACTCTAGCTTATTAGTTTACTTATTATAACTTAATAAACACTCACAATCTGAGACAGAGTCGTTTATGGACACTGTGGCTTTGCTGGGCTCGCCAATGGCAGCATTCATAGGCATACGAAGCACCAGTTCAAGTTTCTCAATTCCCTCCAGCACTGGTTGTCCAAGATCATCCAGAATGATGACACGAACAGTCTGCATGCTGACTCCAGGTGCAAAATCTAAATTACGACTAATTCCCACATAGTCTGTTCCAGCTATGATAGTAACAAAAGAATTATTCAGTTGGGGACTGACTAAATTTAAACAAAATTATGATAAGCAAACCATGTAGTATATTTACAATTGTTTTAAAATGTAGACTAGCATAACATTACAGAAAAGTACATTTAATGAAATATAAAAGATTAATATCTACATTGGTTGAGATGATAAATCAAATATCAGTTTCTGAACTTTGTCATATCTATGTCTAATGTGTTATTTTAACTTTAGTTAAAATGTCTTATAGTTAGTTTCTCAATCTTTATTTTGTAATTCTAAAATGGAGCTAACAAAAATGAGATCTAAAATCGGTATATCAATCAAACATGATTATTATTAATTATATATGAAATAAATATAATAATTTAAATTTTGTTAACATTACGTAAGTATCTATATTTGTTTTTGTGAGTTACTAGAGAACATCTTATTTAAGTGTGTTGTTGCCTGCTGGTCAAACCAACACAT